TTCCTGCTTATGCAGGGGGTCGGACTCGATGATCTATTGAGGTCCTTTCCGACCCGAACATCTATGAATCTATGAACCCTGGATGCTCAACTAATTAAAAGGGCTGGCCATCGAGGGCAAGCATGTCCCCAATGTTCTGGATGACCTTATTTGCCTATGCAATGTGCCCCCTGCTTTGTCTGTGGCTTTCCCCCACTGCTCCAGGGTGACCTGCCTCTGCTTCATTGGGATGGGGGCTTTGGAGTGAGAGGGGGACTTCTTTTTGGGCGCACACACACTGGTGCCAGGCTGAGGAGGAACAAGGGCCAAGGGGGTCCTGTCTCCTGAGATGCAGCAGCATCGCTGTGGTGGTGAAGTGTTTCACTTCCTTGGAATGGCTGATCTGCTTTCAGCAGTGCTGGCAGATAGCATACTTGGGATCATCTGCCACTTCAAAATGATTCCACACTCCACTACCCTTCAGCTTCTGGGTTGCAGGTGGGGATCCTGCCTTATCCTTTCCTCAGCAGGCAGAGGCACAACAACAGGGGAAGCTGAGCCACCTGCCCCCACAACCTCCTTCGAGGTTCCTTCTGGAAAAGGAGATCTGGCTCTAGGGGAACTTTGAGGGGTGCGGAGCACAAACTCAGATTCCCCCTCATTCCCCAGAATTTCTTTTGCTAGGGTGCTCGGGTCCCCTGCTTCCAGATCCAGCTCCTCCTCCGGCACTGGAAGGCTCTCACTGGGAGATGAAATTGGGGTGGAGGAGACTGTCATGCTGGTGCTTGTGGCTATTTCTGGTGTTAGGGGAGATGGTGCAGGGAGAGGTACTGCTTCCACCTCCTTGCAGCCACTGGCAGCAGATGACTCATTGCTGCCAAGAAAGAGGGTGCGTCTATGTTTGAGGGGATGGGGGGAACTTGCAGCTCTTCCCCTACCCTCTCTAGCTCCTCTTCTTCCCCTACCAGAAGGCCTGGCACCTGCCTTTCGAGCATGCTTCATGATGTTTGCTGTGCTGGAAAATATGTGCGCGCACACAACTGTAATATCTCTTCTTCTCTCTGTTTACTGTATGTGTGTGTAACTGTAATATCTTTTCTTCTCTGTTTACTTTATGTGTGCGAGTGTGTATAATGTATGTGCTTTCCTGCACAGTGATGGATCACACACTGCCAGGCAAGCAAAACACAGCTTTCTTTTTAAAAAGTGTGTGTGTGTGGTGGTGGTGGGGGGTGGGGACTAAGAAGAACAAATAAGAGGTTTTTTGGGAGAAGAATAAGTTGAAAGAAATGGATTGGATAAGTAGAGGGATTCTAGGCAAGGGTAACTAGTAAGCTGTATCCAACCCTTTCCAAGAAGAGACACTAGCAGGAGACTGACTAGGAAGCCAATCCAGTCCAGTAGTACCTTTCAGATGCTGTTGCTCAGGCAGAAACAGCTCACAAAAGGGACAGAAAGGCTGCAGACAGAGGCTTATATGCTGTTTCTACGTCCCTCCCCCAAAGCACCGTGATTGGAAGGGGACACTGGAAAAGATCACAGTCACTGGCCAGCTACAGATACCAGTTTTTCCCCCTGCTTCCCCTCCCTTCTCTCAGTTTCTGTTTCCCTGCAAGATTGCATTCCAGATCGCCAAATCTCTGAATCTTTTTCTGAATCTTTTTTAAATCAATTTGGAGGCTCCGAATCGATTCAGAGTGGGGGTTTTTTTGTCTCCTGATTTGATTCTGATTTGGTGATTCGGCCTCTGAATTGGGCCAAATCTTTTCTGAATAGAATTGGCGACTGAAACTTCGCAGACCCCTAACAACTGTAGACAGTAATTCTTTTCATATACATGTCTTCATAAGAACTTGGTATATAGAAATACATATATTAAGTTTGTTGTTGTATAATCAACCTAAGAAACTATTCAGCGTTATTTAATTAATGTTATACTTTATAAAGTGAATTTCTTTCTTATGGAATTGTTGATTCAGTAAAAAAAGGCTTGTTTGGGGGAAGAATTATTGTACATATTTGGTGCTTGCATCCCTGGAGTAAAATGAATTTTCAGAGGCACTGATCACTGGCTACTAACCATTAAGTCAATGGGAGCTGCAGGCACGTTCAGCATCTTTTGAAAATAGGGCAAGGTAACAGTGATGCCAGTTCATAAAAGAGAGACCTTCCCAAAAATAACATTTTCAGGAGTTTTAAAATGTGATTATTCCTGGTTCCATTTAAAGATTCTGGCTCCACTCTAGATTTGACCTTTTAGGTTTTTACAATAGTGGATTTGGGCAAAGAAACCTATTGTGAAGCTATTGTATGCCTAGGAAAAATCCTGAAATACAGACCTTTTTAAAGAAGTAATGTTGTTCTTTGTCAAAGATTGAGTTTGGAGCAGAATGAAATAAAGATCATAAAATCAAGGAAAGGATGAAGCAACAGTATGAAACACCAGAACCTACTAAAGCTTTATCCTCCAATGCAGTTTTCAAAAACAACCAAGAAACTCCTTCATTCATTAGAATACTGGACAGCCAGGAGGGTGCTGATAGTTGTTCTCCAATGCAGATCCACATTTAGCACTAGATATGAAAAATGGGCTCTATCAAAAGGTGGGGCAACATAATGCTTTGTCTGAAACATTATGATAAGGCTGTGTTGGTTCCAACCCTTAAATTATTTTGCTATAAATATAAAGTACAAGTTCTTCCACTGGCTTATCATTGCAACGTTTTTTCTTTAAAACTTGACATTGTATTAGAATTTCCAAAACTCTTGTTTTTGTCCTCATCATTTTATGCTTCTGTTTTTAGCATCCTAGTTTGTTCTGGAGATAAAATTGGCCTACTTTATCTGCCAAGCATTCTAAATTCGCTTTCCAGAGTCTCATAGATTTTCTTATCTCCACTACAGATTAATGAAAAAGTCCGCTATCTTTAGCTGTTGAGGTACTGTATTCATGTTTGAAAACTGATTTTATCTTAAGAAATGTATAGACAGTTTATTTTAAATGGAAAGGATGCTACTTTTAAGTAAACCTGGAAGTAATATTCTTGCCTAGGTACACATTCTTTGAGTGATTAGGCTCTACAGTCTAGATTCTTGATGTAGATCCTGTTTGTTCCTTTCTTCTTTGTTTCTAAATTTTTCTTGTGCTTATACTTGTTGCAGGACCCAAGTAGGAGTATAAACACAAGCAGCAGTAGCGGCGGCAGCAGTAGTAACAGTTTTTCAAAGCCCCACAAATTAACAAAGGAGCACAAAGAAAAACCTTCTAAGGACTCAAAAGACCATAAAAGTGCCTTCAAAGAACCTTCCAGGGAACACAACAAATCTTCCAAAGAATCCTCTAAGAAACCCAAAGAAAACAAACCACTAAAAGATGAAAAAATAGTTCCTAAGATGGCTTTCAAGGAACCCAAAACCATGTCTAAGGAGCCAAAATCTGAGAACAACATCCTTACTATAACAGGTGGACACCAGCAAGAAAAGAAGGCCCCAACAAAAAGGCCGACTGTTACAGATTCTGAGGAACTTTCTGCCAAAAAAAGGAAAAAAAATAGCTCAGAGTCTTTATTTAAAAGTTTTTCTAGTGCTCCTCCGCTGATACTTACTTGTTCTTCTAACAAAAAGCAAACAAAGGATAAATCTCAGTCTAAAATGGGGAAAGTCAAAATGGAAAGTGAGACACTCGAGAAAAAAAAGCCTACTTTACCACCATTTGATGATATTGTGGATCCCAATGATTCTGACATGGAGGAAAATGTGTCCTCTAAATCTGAAGTAAGTGACTTTTAGTTTTTGTTTACCTTTTCCCAAGTTCTGATCATGTATTTGGTTGTATTCAATTGTATTTTTTGTTCTTTCATGAAGTTTTCAGTTTCATCTGATGGTTTGTAGATGGGCTTCTAGGTTTCTATCATAAACTATCCACAATTATGGGTTATCTTAAATATTTGGGTATTTTGGCTATATTATACAGATTAAAGCATAATTTGGCTCCTTTATTCTGATCAATTTAACATCATTCAAAATGGTTGGAATTATCAGTGCCGTATCATTTTCCTTTCAAAGAAATCAGCAGCACCTTTTTGAGAGATTAATTGAAAGGCTTGTTTCATATTCCAGAGGTTTGTATTTGGGGGGGGGGGATGGGAATGTGGATGTATCAGAGATATAAGAGAACAATAAAGGAAGGCAATAATATTAGAAACTTCATAAGCATGAATATAGAGAAAAATGACATTGAAGAGCAAGGTTTAGAGTTGCTTATTGGTTCAGTGTTGGTATATTTCTTACTTGCTTCGCTAGGGTTGCGTTTAGTTATACAGATGTGAAAACAAGAAACTAAACACTGCTTTTTTAACATATGGCTTCCCATATCCTGTTTTTGGAGGGCTGACCTGTGGCACAGAAATCTGACTGCATTTTTAATATTAATAGTGCTAACTCAAGCTCTGTCTTGATTAAAATATAGCTTTTTGTATCTCTTTTTTACTTTCTCTGTGAGGAAGATGCCTCCATGACAAGTCACTGACTATATGCTGTTATGGAAGTTCTTACAGCAATTTTATGTTAACAGTGTTAACATTTCTATTGTGGGAGCTGCTAGTAGTCATGACCAGGACCATTACATCTTGTCCTGGACAGATGTTTTACTTAGATGTGGTCCTACCTTACAGAGTTCATGTTGTAAGATCACAGTCCATACACAAAGGAGAGGCAGCATGGGAGTCAAATCTAGGTATGTTCTATATGCATTAATATATTTCTGTGTGCATGTTTACAACTATTTTGAGTTTGAAAATTACTGAAAAGCAGGTTTTAACAACAGCCTATCAGTCCGCCTAATTTTGGCTGATGCCATATTGCTGTTGAAGTAGGATTAGGTCTTGAAAGGGGTTAAAAGAAAAGGAATAAGATTATAAACAAGAGGTATTTTGGAAGCAAGGGTGAAGGTATGGTTTTTGGGATGAGCAGGTAGATGGTTAAGCTTAGTGTCATTGGTCAAACAGCATGGTAGAAAAACACAGAAGGAAGAATAGGTAATATCAGAGAGAGAGAGAGGCCTATGAAATTATTGAAAGTTAGAAGAAACAGTTACTTGATATAGTCACTGGACAAGGAGGGCTTTGAAAAGGGCCATTAACCTCGGTTCAGAAGTTTGTCTTATGTATGTTGGAATGGGATGAAAAGAGGGTTACAGGCATCAAGACAAGAGATGAGAGCCTGGATGCAGCAGCAAGATTGGCTACAACATAGCTATGTGCATGTGGGAGAAATGGTGTCAAAGCTGACTCCTAGGGATAGACAGGTAACATGGTGGTGTGAAATAGGGAAACAGGCTTTGTAGGAAAGACTGGGAATTTTGTGTTGCTAAACTTAGTTGAAGCATCCAGAAGGTGATGGAGAGAGCAGCTGAGGTGGGGCTTTCGAGGAAGGTATAACGGTAGGCTTATGTGACTTATTCTTTTAGGTTTTTTTAATAGCAGATGAGTGAATCACTGAAGTCATTCATAGAGTTTAATTTTTAATCTACATTGTTATTTTTATGTATTATAATTAAATAATATATTTTGCCTTTGTACACCTGTGATATTCATGTTCCTTTTGCAATGGAAAGGTGGCCAGGAAAGGGCATGTCCCAGAAATATTGATTAAGTATGGGTCTAGTAATCAGACTCACTTTGATCTGAGTAAGTTGGTTGGCTTTATGCCTTCCTGCCAGAGGAGGTCTTACCAAGATTTATCTTTACATGAATTTTTAAGTAGCATTCACAAAATATTGTGTGTATCTGGTACCAGGTTAATGATGTGCTTCCAGACTTCCAATAGGAAGCTGCTTGAAAATATTTGCCTCTGTTACTGATGCGTTTTACCATCTGTAGATAATATACCACCTAGTCTTTCATACTCCCGCTAGGTCTATCAGTGCTTCCATCCAGCGTCATGCATTGCAAACATCTATATATGTATCCTTTCACCTGTGATTCAGCATTCTCCCTCTCTCCCTCTCTTCACAGCAGCAACATTTGTGTCAGATGGGTTGCAGCCATTATCAATCTGCAGCCTACATATCGAATGTTCAGGGAGGTTAGTTGATGCTACTTGTCCTGATATGATAGGCTAGAAATTACACTGGGGAAAGTTGTAAAGGTTCCTGTGACCTCTTCCCTTGTTGTTGGTGAGGGGACCTTATTGTCAAGAAAGTTACAGGAATGTCAACTGAAAGGCCTTTGCTGCTGCTTGTTGCTTCATCTATTGGTAGGGAAGTGTGTGGAGTTCTAAAATTCCCCAGTCAAGTGCCTGATGGGGGAGTATTCCCCAAGTTGAGTAAAAGAAAGGGTAGGGGATGAGAAGGAGCAACTTGTCCCTTGT